TGCCCCCCAGGCCCCCGTGCTGCAGTACCTGTACTACCTGGCGCAGATCGGCATCGCCATGTCGCCGCTGAGCAACAACAGCCTCTTCCTCAGCTACCACCGCAACCCCCTGCCCGAGTACCTCTCGCGGGGGCTCATGGTCTCCCTCTCCACCGATGATCCCCTCCAGTTCCACTTCACCAAGGTGAGGCGGTGGGGGGAGGGTCTGCGGGTCACCAAGCCCTCCTCACCCTGAATGGCTCGGGGCAGCCACCGGGCGGATGGAGGAGGGGGCGCTGGTGGCCGTGGGGTTGGTAGTGGCTGTGGGGAGGGGATGGGGTCAGTGATGGCTGTGGGGAAAGAGTTGGTGGCCGGGTCCTTTGGTGTGGGGTCACTGATGGCTATGGGGTTGGTAGTGGCCGTGGGGAGGGGATGGAGTCAGTGGTGGCTGTGGGGAAGGAGTTGGTGGACAACTGTGTCCTTTGGGATGGGGTCACTGATGGCTATGGGGATGGTGGTGGCCATGGGGAGGGGATGGGGTCAGCGGTGGCTGTGGGGAAAGAGTTGGTGGCCGGGTCCTTTGGTGTGGGGTCGCTGATGGCTATGGGGTTGGTAGTGGCCGTGGGGAGGGGATGGAGTCAGTGGTGGCTGTGGGGATGGGGTCGGTGATGGCTGTGGGGTTGGTGGTGGCCACGGGGATGGGATAGGCTCGGTGGTGGCCGTGAGGATGGAGTCAGTGGTGGCCAGGTCCTTTGGTGTGGGGTCGCTGATGGCTGTGGGGTCGGTGGTGGCTGTGGGGATGGGATAGAGTCAGTGGTGGCTGTGGGGATGGGGTCGGTGGTGGCTGTGGGGTTGGTGGTGGCCATGGGGATGGGATGGGGCAGTGGTGGCTGTGGGGTCGGTGGTGGCTGTAGGGAAGGAGTTGGTGGCCGGGTCCTTTGGGGTGGGGTCAGTGATGGCTGTGAGGTGGGTGGTGGCCATGGCCATGGAATGGAGTCGGCAGTGGCTGATAGGACAGGCTTGGCCATGGCCCAGAACAAGAAGGAGCCACCAAGCTGTGGAGGATTCAGGAGATCCAGAGGGAGTGGAGGAGAACCTTCGGACCCCCTTCCCCACGTGGGGGGAGGTGACGGGGGGCTGCTAAGGCCTCATTCCCCCCCTCCAGGAGCCGCTGATGGAGGAGTACAGCATCGCCACGCAGGTGTGGAAGCTGAGCTCCTGCGACATGTGCGAGTTGGCCCGCAACAGCGTCCTCATGAGCGGCTTCTCCCATAAGGTACCGCCACCCCCCCAGCCGGGGACCCTCCAGGCGGCTGCGGGTTCCCCCCATCCCTCTGCTTCTCTCTGCCCCCAGGTGAAGAGCTACTGGCTGGGCCCCCACTACCTGAAAGAGGGGCCGGAAGGGAACGACATCCGTCGCACCAACGTCCCCGACATCCGCGTCGGGTATCGCTTCGAGACGCTGTGCCAGGAGCTGACGCTCATCACGCAGGCGGTGCAGAGCGCCGAGCTGGAGCCCATCCAGGAGGAGGACGCGCTGGCCGTCACCCCCCCCACCCCCACCCACTGACCCCGGCCCCATTGCCGCCCCCCCGGGGGCTCCGTCCCCCCCCCGCTGCCCCTCTTTTCTTCTGCCTCCTTTCTTCTTTTCGTTGTTGTTGGGGTTTTTTTTTGTATTATTATTATTCTTTTTTTTTTGGTCGTTTTTTCATCGCTTTTTCCCCTATCTGTGTTACGGCCCGCGGGGGGGGGGGGTTGGCGTTTCGATGGGGGGGGGTCTTGGTGTCACTTCCTGCACGGTGACACGCTGAGGCCATCATGGGAGGGGACGCAGCCCTACACCCCCCCACCAGCACCCAGCTCTGGGTCCCAGTATTTTTATTAGCCCCTCCCCCCTCCCCTTTTTGCCTCTCCGTCCATTTCTCGCCCAGAGGGGCCCCAACACCCCCCCCCCCCCCCAACCCGTGCGTTATGGGGGGGCACATCGTGCTGGGGACCGGGGGGGGCACAGAGAGCGATGTGGGGCCGCCCATCCCCTGTGCTCCAATTTGAGGCTGGGGGGGGGGGGGGGAAGGGGGCTGCTCCCATGGCCGTGTCCCCACGTCCCCCATCCCGTCCTGTGCGCCCCCCCCCTCCGGAACAACAACAACAAAAAAAAGGAAAAAAAAAAGCAAAGCAAAGCATGGGAAATAAAAGTATTTAAGTAAGAAACGGGGCGCAGTGATTGGGGGACGGGGGGGGAGCGAAGGGCCGGACTCTGCGCGGTGGGGGCGGCTCCGGTGACGCGGGAGGGGAGTGGGAAGGAGGGGGGGTTTCGCTTTGCTCTGCTGCGCGTGTGGCGGAGCGGGGCGTTCCGTCGGGTCGGTGCGGATCAGCGCTCGGCATGGTGCTCACGTTGGGTTACTGGGACATCCGTGGGGTGAGCCGGGGGGATCGGGGGGGGGGGAGGTAGGTGAAGGTATTTGGGGGAGGGGGGGACAAAGCGGCGGGATTGGGGGGGGGTAACGAAGCGGCTGTGCCCGCAGTTGGCCCACCCCATCCGCCTGCTGCTGGAGTACACCGAGACCCCCTACCAGGAGCGGCTGTACAGAGATGGGCCAGGTGAGGGGGGGGCACCACTCGTGAACCCCCTTTTATTTTGGGGGGGGGGCACCCAGCGCTGTTCTCCTGCTCCCCCCCGCCCCTCCGTTCCGCCCCACGGACCTTGCTCCTGGCACAAAGCTCTTGGCACGGCCTGGGGAGGGCAGAGCGGGGGATGAGGCTGCTCCTGCCCCCCCCCACTTCCCCCCCCCTCTCAAATATTCCCACCCTGATGCAATCTGGGGGTCCCTCGTGCAGCCCGTGAGTCCGACCCGAGCGATTGGAGCCATGAGAAGGAGAAGCTGGGCCTCGACTTCCCCAATGTGAGCCGTGCTGGGGGGCCGGGGGGGGGTGAGGAGGGGAAGTGGGGGGGGCTGCCGTGGCTCTGACCCCCCCATTGCCCCCCCAGCTGCCCTATCTCATCGATGGCAGCACCAAGCTGACCCAGAGCAACGCCATCCTGCGTTACATCGCCCGCAAGCACAACATGTGTGAGTGGGGGGGGGTTGTGAGCCGGACGGGGGGGGGGATCCGGGGGGGGTGGGGGGGAGGTCTGATGCGTTCCCTGTCCCATAGGTGGGGAGACAGAGGTGGAGAAGCAGCACGTGGACATGTTGGAGAACCACCTGATGGATGTGCGCATGGCCTTCGCTCGTCTCTGCTACAACCCTGACTTTGTGAGTGCCCCCCCCAGCCTGGAGGGGGGGGGAGGGGGGTCAGTCGGTCCCCTCGGGGGTCCCTGAGGCGACTGTGGGAAGGAGGGGGGGGGGGGGAGATTGGGGAAAAGCTGTGGGGTCTCAGCGCTGGGGTTGGAATCCCATAGTGGGGCGTGCAATGGGGGTTTGCCTCCTGCCTGGCCCCATGTGTTGGTAGGGGGGTTTGTGTGGGTCTGAGGGGAGTCTGGGGGGGGTCGGGGAGGGTCGGGGGGGGGTCCCACCTCAGCACTGCCCCCATCCCATCATGCAGGAGAAGCTGAAGCCGGCGTACCTGGAGCAGCTGCCAGGGAAACTGCGGGAGCTGTCGCGCTTCCTGGGCTCCCGGCCGTGGTTTGTGGGGGACAAGGTGGGTGCTGGGGGGGGGGGGGTGGGAGTTTGGGGGGGGTCCGGAGCTGTGCTGACCCCGCTGCCCCCCCCCTCCCCTCAGCTCACCTTCATTGACTTTGTGGCCTATGATGTGCTGGAACGGCTGCGGATGTTCACCCCTGACTGCCCCGAGCTGCAGGGCAACCTGGGGCAGTTCCTGCAGCGCTTTGAGGTCAGTGGGGACCCCAAAATCCCTGTCCCCACCTCTGTCCCCAACCCCGTCCCCATATTATCCTCCTCCATCCTCACCCGTGTCCTCAAATTATCCCCAACCTGTCCTGGACCCCATCCATCCCAACCCATTCCCGTCCCCTGTTCTGTGTCCATCCCCATCCCTGTGCCCGTTCCTGTCCTCAACCTTTGTCCCCATCCATCCCCATCCCTGTCCCCATATTGTCCCCAACCCGTTCTCATCTCTGTTCCCACCTGTCTCCAGCCGCATCCCTGCCCCCATCCATCTCCCCACCCCCATTCCCCTCACCCCCCTCCCCCCCGTCCCCATCTCTGTCTCCATCCCCATTCCCACTCCTGTCCCAATCTCTCTCCCCATCCATCTTTCCATTCCCATTGCTCTCTTTGTCCCCATCCCTGTCCCCACATTGCCCCCCCCCTTGTCCCCCCCCAGGCCCTGGAGAAGATCTCTGCCTACATGCGCTCGGGGCGCTTTATGAAGACCCCCATCTTCATTCACACGGCGGTGTGGGGCAGCAAGAAGGCGTGAGGGGGATGGGACCCCCCCCAAGTCCCCTCCCCCCCTCGGACCCCATTTCTCTGCAGAATAAAACAGAGAGTCTGCAGTGCAGTGTGTGGGGAGTTGTCATGGGGGGGATGGGGGGCGGGGACATGGGGACAGCTACTGGGGGGGGGTGGAGGGAGAGGCCGTCCTCTGTTCCCCCCTCAGGATAATGGGAAATGGGAGGGGGGGGGGGCGTTATGGGATGTTGGGGCCCCTCTGGGGGGGCTTCTTGTCCTCCCTTCCAGCACAGACACTGCAGCCCCCCAGGAGTGAAGGGAGAAGATGCGCCCCCCCCCCCCTCTGGATAAGGGACCCCCCCCTCTGTGCACACTGTGGGCCTGGGGGGGTCCTGTGCCCCCCATCGAGCCCTCCAAAGTGTGTGGGGGGTGGCGGGGGGTGGGGGGGTTTGCAAGGGAGTTCTCCCTGTTATGGGAAACCCTGTGTGCACGAAGTGGGGGGGGGGGGGGGGGGCAAGGAAAATGGGTGACCCCCCCCCCCCCGCGCGGAAAAACAGGGGAGCCTCAAGGTAAGGAACAGCCCCCAAACAAAAAGGGGGGGGGGGGGCACAGCTCACAGCCGCGTTCTCCTTTAAGACCCCCCTCCCTCAAAGCTCCGTCCCCGGGAAAGGGAGGAGCTGCAGGAGGGGCGGAAGGGGGCGGAAGGGGGGCAGCGTCTGGAGCGCGCGCAGCAATGGCGGTGTTGGGATACTGGGACATCCGAGGGGTGCGTGGGGGGGGGGGGGGCTGCCCTGGGGTCCACGGAGGGATCCCAACCCTGGGGGGGGTCTTTTCTCTATGGGGGGGGGGGTCGCTGGGGGGGGGGGTGCTTGAGGAGTATCGGAATTTATGTGGGTTTTTTTTTTTTTGGCGGGGGGGGAAGGGCTGTTTATTTCTGGGGTCCCATTGGAGGATGGGGGCCATTTGCATCCGCCCCCCCCCCCCCAAAAAAAAAACAATTGCGCCGTGCTTTGAGGGTTTGAGGGGTTGGGGTTGGGGGGGGGGGGGGCGCGAGGTGGTGCAGGTACTGGGGGGATCCCCGAGCCGGGGGGTGCGTACAGCGGGGGCGCATTTCTCACCCCCTCCGTGCCTCCGTGCCCCCACGGGGGGGCTCACTGCTGCCTTTCCCCCCCCTCCCCCCCCCCCCCCAGCTGGCCCACGCCATCCGCCTGCTGCTGGAGCACACCGGGACGCCCTATGAGGACAAACTGTACAGCTGTGGGGAAGGTGAGAGAGGGAGGGGGGTTGGCAGGCGGATCCCCCTCCCGTCCCCCCCACCCCCCCCCCCTCCCACTGCGCTGTTGGAATATGGGGGGGCTCATCCCACTGTGCTTTGGGGGCTTGGGGGAGACAGGGGGGTTCGTCCCCCCACCAGCTCCTCAGAAGCCCCAGCGTTGGGGGGGGGGGGGGAGTTTGTGCCTAAGCCCCCAACAAGAAGGAGCCACCAAGCTGTGGAGGATTCAGGAGATCCAGAGGGAGTGGGGGAGAACCTTCGGACCCCCTTCCCCACGTGGGGGGAGGTGACGGGGGGCTGCTAAGGCCTCATTCCCCCCCTCCAGGAGCCGCTGATGGAGGAGTACAGCATCGCCACGCAGGTGTGGAAGCTGAGCTCCTGCGACATGTGCGAGTTGGCCCGCAACAGCGTCCTCATGAGCGGCTTCTCCCATAAGGTACCGCCACCCCCCCCAGCCGGGGACCCTCCAGGCGGCTGCGGGTTCCCCCCATCCCTCTGCTTCTCTCTGCCCCCAGGTGAAGAGCTACTGGCTGGGCCCCCACTACCTGAAAGAGGGGCCGGAAGGGAACGACATCCGTCGCACCAACGTCCCCGACATCCGCGTCGGGTATCGCTTCGAGACGCTGTGCCAGGAGCTGACGCTCATCACGCAGGCGGTGCAGAGCGCCGAGCTGGAGCCCATCCAGGAGGAGGACGCGCTGGCCGTCACCCCCCCCACCCCCACCCACTGACCCCGGCCCCATTGCCGCCCCCCCGGGGGCTCCGTCCCCCCCCCGCTGCCCCTCTTTTCTTCTGCCTCCTTTCTTCTTTTCGTTGTTGTTGGGGTTTTTTTTTGTATTATTATTATTATTCTTTTTTTTTGGTCGTTTTTTCATCGCTTTTTCCCCTATCTGTGTTACGCCCCGCGGTGGGGGGGGGGTTGGCGTTTTGATGGGGGGGGGTCTTGGTGTCACTTCCTGCACGGTGACACGCTGAGGCCATCATGGGAGGGGACGCAGCCCTACACCCCCCCCCCCCCCCAGCACCCAGCTCTGGGTCCCAGTATTTTTATTAGCCCCTCCCCCCTCCCCTTTTTGCCTCTCCGTCCATTTCTCGCCCAGAGGGGCCCCAACCAACCCCCAACCCGTGCGTTATGGGGGGGCACATCGTGCTGGGGACCGGGGGGGGGGCACAGAGAGCGATGTGGGGCCGCCCATCCCCTGTGCTCCAATTTGAGGCTGTGGGGGGGGGAAGGGGAAGGGGGCTGCTCCCATGGCCGTGTCCCCACGTCCCCCATCCCGTCCTGTGCGCCCCCCCCCCGGAACAACAAAAAAAAAAGGAAAAAAAAAAACAAAGCAAAGCATGGGAAATAAAAGTATTTAAGTAAGAAACGGGGCGCAGTGATTGGGGGACGGGGGGGGAGCGAAGGGCCGGACTCTGCGCGGTGGGGGCGGCTCCGGTGACGCGGGGGGGGATGGGAAGGAGGGGGGGTTTCGCTTTGCTTTGCTGCGCGTGTGGCGGAGCGGGGCGTTCCGTCGGGTCGGTGCGGATCAGCGCTCGGCATGGTGCTCACGTTGGGTTACTGGGACATCCGTGGGGTGAGCCGGGGGGGTCCGGGAGGGGGGAGGTAGATGAGGGTATTTGGGGGAGGGGGGGGACAAAGCGGCGGGATTGGGGGGGGGTAACGAAGCGGCTGTGCCCGCAGTTGGCCCACCCCATCCGCCTGCTGCTGGAGTACACCGAGACCCCCTACCAGGAGCGGCTGTACAGAGATGGGCCAGGTGAGGGGGGGGCACCCCTCGTGAACCCCCTTTTATTTTGGGGGGGGGGCACCCAGCGCTGTTCTCCTGCTCCCCCCCGCCCCTCCGTTCCGCCCCACGGACCTTGCTCCTGGCACAAAGCTCTTGGCACGGCCTGGGGAGGGCAGAGCGGGGGATGAGGCTGCTCCTGCCCCCCCCCCCTTCCCCCCCCCCTCTCAAATATTCCCACCCTGATGCAATCTGGGGGTCCTTCGTGCAGCCCGTGAGTCCGACCCGAGCGATTGGAGCCATGAGAAGGAGAAGCTGGGCCTCGACTTCCCCAATGTGAGCCGTGCTGGGGGGCCGGGGGGGGTGAGGAGGGGAAGTGGGGGGGGCTGCCGTGGCTCTGACCCCCCCATTGCCCCCCCAGCTGCCCTATCTCATCGATGGCAGCACCAAGCTGACCCAGAGCAACGCCATCCTGCGTTACATCGCCCGCAAGCACAACATGTGTGAGTGGGGGGGGGGGGGGGGGTTGTGAGCTGGACGGGGGGGGGATCCGGGGGGGTGGGGGGGAGGTCTGATGCGTTCCCTGTCCCATAGGTGGGGAGACAGAGGTGGAGAAGCAGCACGTGGACATGTTGGAGAACCACCTGATGGATGTGCGCATGGCCTTCGCTCGTCTCTGCTACAACCCTGACTTTGTGAGTGCCCCCCCCAGCCTGGAGGGGGGGGGGGGGAGGGGGGTCAGTCGGTCCCCTCGGGGGTCCCTGAGGCGACTGTCGGATGGAGGGGAGGGGGGGAGATTGGGGAAAAGCTGTGGGGTCTCAGCGCTGGGGTTGGAATCCCATAATGGGGCGTGCAATGGGGGTTTGCCTCCTGCCTGGCCCCATGTGTTGGTAGGGGGGTTTGTGTGGGTCTGAGGGGAGTCTGGGGGGGTCGGGGAGGGTCGGGGGGGGGTCCCACCTCAGCACTGCCCCCATCCCATCATGCAGGAGAAGCTGAAGCCGGCGTACCTGGAGCAGCTGCCAGGGAAACTGCGGGAGCTGTCGCGCTTCCTGGGCTCCCGGCCGTGGTTTGTGGGGGACAAGGTGGGTGCTGGGGGGGGGGGGTGGGAGTTTGGGGGGGGTCCGGAGCTGTGCTGACCCCGCTGCCCCCCCCCCCCAGCTCACCTTCATTGACTTTGTGGCCTATGATGTGCTGGAACGGCTGCGGATGTTCACCCCCGACTGCCCCGAGCTGCAGGGCAACCTGGGGCAGTTCCTGCAGCGCTTTGAGGTCAATGGGGACCCCAAAATCCCTGTCCCCACCTCTGTCCCCAGCCCCGTCCCCATATTATCCTCCTCCATCCTCACCCCTGTCCTCAAATTATCCCCAACCTGTCCTGGACCCCATCCATCCCAACCCATTCCCGTCCCCTGTTCTGTGTCCATCCCCATCCCTGTGCCCGTTCCTGTCCTCAACCTTTGTCCCCATCCATCCCCATCCCTGTCCCCATATTGTCCCCAACCCGTTCTCATCTCTGTCCCCACCTGTCTCCACCCCCATCCCTGCCCCCATCCATCTCCTCACCCCCATTCCCCTCACCCCCCTCCCCCCGTCCCCATCTCTGTCTCCATCCCCATTCCCACCCGTGTCCCAATCTCTCTCCCCATCCATCTTTCCATTCCCATTGCTCTCTTTGTCCCCATCCCTGTCCCCACATTGCCCCCCCCCTTGTCCCCCCCCAGGCCCTGGAGAAGATCTCTGCCTACATGCGCTCGGGGCGCTTTATGAAGACCCCCATCTTCATTCACACGGCGGTGTGGGGCAGCAAGAAGGCGTGAGGGGGATGGGACCCCCCCCAAGTCCCCTCCCCCCCTCGGACCCCATTTCTCTGCAGAATAAAACAGAGAGTCTGCAGTGCAGTGTGTGGGGAGCTGTCATGGGGGGGATGGGGGGCGGGGACATGGGGACAGCTACTGGGGGGGGGTGGAGGGAGAGGCCGTCCTCTGTTCCCCCCTCAGGATAATGGGAAATGGGAGGGGGGGGGGGGGGCGTTATGGGATGTTGGGGCCCCTCTGGGGGGGCTTCTTGTCCTCCCTTCCAGCACAGACACTGCAGCCCCCCAGGAGTGAAGGGAGAAGATGCGCCCCCCCCCCCCCCCTCTGGATAAGGGACCCCCCCGCTCTGTGCACACTGTGGGCCTGGGGGGGTCCTGTGCCCCCCATCGAGCCCTCCAAAGTGTGTGGGGGGTGGCGGGGGGTGGGGGGGTTTGCAAGGGAGTTCTCCCTGTTATGGGAAACCCTGTGTGCACGAAGTGGGGGGGGGGGGGGAGGGGCAAGGAAAATGGGTGACTCCCCCCTCCCCGGAAAGACAGGGGAGCCTCAAGGTAAGGAACAGCCCCCAAACAAAAAGGGGGGGGGGGGGGGCACAGCTCACAGCCGCGTTCTCCTTTAAGACCCCCCTCCCTCAAAGCTCCGTCCCCGGGAAAGGGAGGAGCTCCAGGAGGGGCGGAAGGGGGCGGAAGGGGGGCAGCGTCTGGAGCGCGCGCAGCAATGGCGGTGTTGGGATACTGGGACATCCGAGGGGTGCGTGGGGGGGGGGGGGCTGCCCTGGGGTCCACGGAGGGATCCCAACCCTGGGGGGGGTCTTGTTTATATGGGGGGGGGTCGCTGGGGGGGGGGGGGTGCTTGAGGAGTATCGGAATTTATGTGGTTTTTTTTGGGGGGGGGGAGGGGGGAAGGGCTGTTTATTTCTGGGGTCCCATTGGAGGATGGGGGCCATTTGCATCCGCCCCCCCCCCCCCCAAAACAAACAATTGCGCCGTGCTTTGAGGGTTTGAGGGTTTGGGGTTGGGGGGGCGGGGGGCGCGAGGTGGTGCAGGTACTGGGGGGATCCCCGAGCCGGGGGGGGCGTACAGCGGGGGCGCATTTCTCAACCCCTCCGTGCCCCCACGGGGGGGCTCACTGCTGCCTGTGCTCCCCCCCTCCCCCCCCCCCCCGCAGCTGGCCCACGCCATCCGCCTGCTGCTGGAGCACACCGGGACGCCCTATGAGGACAAACTGTACAGCTGTGGGGAAGGTGAGGGGGGGGGGGGGTTGGCAGGTGGATCCCCCTCCCGTCCCGTCCCGTCCCCCCCCCCCCACTGCGCTGTTGGAATATGGGGGGGCTCATCCCACTGTGCTTTGGGGGCTTGGGGGAGACAGGGGGGTTCGTCCCCCCGCCAGCTCCTCAGAAGCCCCAGAGTTGGGGGGGGGGGGGGGGGGTTTGTGCCTAAGCCCCCAACAAGAAGGAGCCACCAAGTGTGGAGGATTCAGGAGATCCAGAGGGAGTGGGGGAGAACCTTCGGACCCCCTTCCCCACGTGGGGGGAGGTGACGGGGGGCTGCTAAGGCCTCATTCCCCCCCTCCAGGAGCCGCTGATGGAGGAGTACAGCATCGCCACGCAGGTGTGGAAGCTGAGCTCCTGCGACATGTGCGAGTTGGCCCGCAACAGCGTCCTCATGAGCGGCTTCTCCCATAAGGTACCGCCACCCCCCCAGCCGGGGACCCTCCAGGCGGCTGCGGGTTCCCCCCATCCCTCTGCTTCTCTCTGCCCCCAGGTGAAGAGCTACTGGCTGGGCCCCCACTACCTGAAAGAGGGGCCGGAAGGGAACGACATCCGTCGCACCAACGTCCCCGACATCCGCGTCGGGTATCGCTTCGAGACGCTGTGCCAGGAGCTGACGCTCATCACGCAGGCGGTGCAGAGCGCCGAGCTGGAGCCCATCCAGGAGGAGGACGCGCTGGCCGTCACCCCCCCCACCCCCACCCACTGACCCCGGCCCCATTGCCGCCCCCCCGGGGGCTCCGTCCCCCCCCCCGCTGCCCCTCTTTTCTTCTGCCTCCTTTCTTCTTTTCGTTGTTGTTGGGGTTTTTTTTTGTATTATTATTATTATTCTTTTTTTTGGTCGTTTTTTCATCGCTTTTTCCCCTATCTGTGTTACGCCCCACGGTGGGGGGGGGGTTGGCATTGCGATGGGGGGGGGTCTTGGTGTCACTTCCTGCACGGTGACACGCTGAGGCCATCATGGGAGGGGACACAGCCCTACAACCCCCCCCCCCCCCCAGCACCCAGCTCTGGGTCCCAGTATTTTTATTAGCCCCTCCCCCCTCCCCTTTTTGCCTCTCCGTCCATTTCTCGCCCAGAGGGGCCCCAACCAACCCCCAACCCGTGCGTTATGGGGGGGCACATCGTGCTGGGGACCGGGGGGGGGGCACAGAGAGCGATGTGGGGCCGCCCATCCCCTGTGCTCCAATTTGAGGCTGTGGGGGGGGGAAGGGGAAGGGGGCTGCTCCCATGGCCGTGTCCCCACGTCCCCCATCCCGTCCTGTGCGCCCCCCCCCTCCGGAACAACAAAAAAAAAAAAAGGAAAAAAAAAAAAACAAAGCAAAGCATGGGAAATAAAAGTATTTAAGTAAGAAACGGGGCGCAGTGATTGGGGGACGGGGGGGGAGCGAAGGGCCGGACTCTGCGCGGTGGGGGCGGCTCCGGTGACGCGGGGGGGGGGGGTGGGAAGGAGGGCGGTTTTCGCTTTGCTTTGCTGCGCGTGTGGCGGAGCGGGGCGTTCCGTCGGGTCGGTGCGGATCAGCGCTCGGCATGGTGCTCACGTTGGGTTACTGGGACATCCGTGGGGTGAGCCGGGGGGGTCCGGGAGGGGGGAGGTAGATGAGGGTATTTGGGGGAGGGGGGGGACAAAGCGGCGGGATTGGGGGGGGGGTAACGAAGCGGCTGTGCCCGCAGTTGGCCCACCCCATCCGCCTGCTGCTGGAGTACACCGAGACCCCCTACCAGGAGCGGCTGTACAGAGATGGGCCAGGTGAGGGGGGGGCACCCCTCGTGAACCCCCTTTTATTTTGGGGGGGGGGCACCCAGCGCTGTTCTCCTGCTCCCCCCCGCCCCTCCGTTCCGCCCCACGGACCTTGCTCCTGGCACAAAGCTCTTGGCACGGCCTGGGGAGGGGCAAAGCGGGGGATGAGGCTGCTCCTGCCCCCCCCCTTCCCCGCTCCCCCGTTCTCCCCCCCCTCTCAAATATTCCCACCCTGATGCAATCTGGGGGTCCCTCGTGCAGCCCGTGAGTCCGACCCGAGCGATTGGAGCCACGAGAAGGAGAAGCTGGGCCTCGACTTCCCCAATGTGAGCCGTGCTGGGGGGCCGGGGGGGGGGTGAGGAGGGGAAGTGGGGGGGGCTGCCGTGGCTCTGACCCCCCCCATTGCCCCCCCAGCTGCCCTATCTCATCGATGGCAGCACCAAGCTGACCCAGAGCAACGCCATCCTGCGTTACATCGCCCGCAAGCACAACATGTGTGAGTGGGGGGGGGGTTGTGAGCCGGACGGGGGGGGGATCCGGAGGGGGTGGGGGGGAGGTCTGATGCGTTCCCTGTCCCATAGGTGGGGAGACAGAGGTGGAGAAGCAGCACGTGGACATGTTGGAGAACCACCTGATGGATGTGCGCATGGCCTTCGCTCGTCTCTGCTACAACCCTGACTTTGTGAGTGCCCCCCCCAGCCTGGAAGGGGGGGGGGGAGGGGGGTCAGTCGGTCCCCTCGGGGGTCCCTGAGGCGACTGTGGGAAGGAGGGGGGGGGGGGGGGGAGATTGGGGAAAAGCTGTGGGGTCTCAGCGCTGGGGTTGGAATCCCATAATGGGGCGTGCAATGGGGGTTTGCCTCCTGCCTGGCCCCATGTGTTGGTAGGGGGGTTTGTGTGGGTCTGAGGGGAGTGCAATGGGGGGGTCGGGGAGGGTCTGGGGGGGGTCCCACCTCAGCACTGCCCCCATCCCATCATGCAGGAGAAGCTGAAGCCGGCGTACCTGGAGCAGCTGCCAGGGAAACTGCGGGAGCTGTCGCGCTTCCTGGGCTCCCGGCCGTGGTTTGTGGGGGACAAGGTGGGTGCTGGGGGGGGGGGGTGGGAGTTTGGGGGGGGTCCGGAGCTGTGCTGACCCCGCTGCCCCCCCCCCCCAGCTCACCTTCATTGACTTTGTGGCCTATGATGTGCTGGAACGGCTGCGGATGTTCACCCCCGACTGCCCCGAGCTGCAGGGCAACCTGGGGCAGTTCCTGCAGCGCTTTGAGGTCAATGGGGACCCCAAAATCCCTGTCCCCACCTCTGTCCCCAGCCCCGTCCCCATATTATCCTCCTCCATCCTCACCCCTGTCCTCAAATTATCCCCAACCTGTCCTGGACCCCATCCATCCCAACCCATTCCCGTCCCCTGTTCTGTGTCCATCCCCATCCCTGTGCCCGTTCCTGTCCTCAACCTTTGTCCCCATCCATCCCCATCCCTGTCCCCATATTGTCCCCAACCCGTTCTCATCTCTGTCCCCACCTGTCTCCACCCCCATCCCTGCCCCCATCCATCTCCTCACCCCCATTCCCCTCACCCCCCTCCCCCCCGTCCCCATCTCTGTCTCCATCCCCATTCCCACCCCTGTCCCAATCTCTCTCCCCATCCATCTTTCCATTCCCATTGCTCTCTTTGTCCCCATCCCTGTCCCCACATTGCCCCCCCCTTGTCCCCCCCCAGGCCCTGGAGAAGATCTCTGCCTACATGCGCTCGGGGCGCTTTATGAAGACCCCCATCTTCATTCACACGGCGGTGTGGGGCAGCAAGAAGGCGTGAGGGGGATGGGACCCCCCCCAAGTCCCCTCCCCCCCTCGGACCCCATTTCTCTGCAGAATAAAACAGAGAGTCTGCAGTGCAGTGTGTGGGGAGCTGTCATGGGGGGGATGGGGGGCGGGGACATGGGGACAGCTACTGGGGGGGGGTGGAGGGAGAGGCCGTCCTCTGTTCCCCCCTCAGGATAATGGGAAATGGGAGGGGGGGGGGGGGGGCGTTATGGGATGTTGGGGCCCCTCTGGGGGGGCTTCTTGTCCTCCCTTCCAGCACAGACACTGCAGCCCCCCAGGAGTGAAGGGAGAAGATGCGCCCCCCCCCCCCCCTCTGGATAAGGGACCCCCCCCGCTCTGTGCACACTGTGGGCCTGGGGGGGTCCTGTGCCCCCCATCGAGCCCTCCAAAGTGTGTGGGGGGTGGCGGGGGGTGGGGGGGTTTGCAAGGGAGTTCTCCCTGTTATGGGAAACCCTGTGTGCACGAAGTGGGGGGGGGGGGGGGGGGCAAGGAAAATGGGTGACTCCCCCCTCCCCGGAAAGACAGGGGAGCCTCAAGGTAAGGAACAGCCCCCAAACAAAAAGGGGGGGGGGGGGGGCACAGCTCACAGCCGCGTTCTCCTTTAAGACCCCCCTCCCTCAAAGCTCCGTCCCCGGGAAAGGGAGGAGCTCCAGGAGGGGCGGAAGGGGGCGGAAGGGGGGCAGCGTCTGGAGCGCGCGCAGCAATGGCGGTGTTGGGATACTGGGACATCCGAGGGGTGCGTGGGGGGGGGGGGGGGGCTGCCCTGGGGTCCACGGAGGGATCCCAACCCTGGGGGGGGTCTTGTTTATATGGGGGGGGGGTCGCTGGGGGGGGGGGGGTGCTTGAGGAGTATCGGAATTTATGTGGGTTTTTTTTGGGGGGGGGGAGGGGGGAAGGGCTGTTTATTTCTGGGGTCCCATTGGAGGATGGGGGCCATTTGCATCCGCCCCCCCCCCCCCCAAAACAAACAATTGCGCCGTGCTTTGAGGGTTTGAGGGTTTGGGGTTGGGGGGGCGGGGGGCGCGAGGTGGTGCAGGTACTGGGGGGATCCCCGAGCCGGGGGGGGGCGTACAGCGGGGGCGCATTTCTCAACCCCTCCGTGCCCCCACGGGGGGGCTCACTGCTGCCTGTGCTCCCCCCCCCCCCCCCCCCCCCCGCAGCTGGCCCACGCCATCCGCCTGCTGCTGGAGCACACCGGGACGCCCTATGAGGACAAACTGTACAGCTGTGGGGAAGGTGAGAGAGGGGGGGGGGTTGGCAGGTGGATCCCCCTCCCGTCCCGTCCCGTCCCCCCCCCCCCACTGCGCTGTTGGAATATGGGGGGGCTCATCCCACTGTGCTTTGGGGGCTTGGGGGAGACAGGGGGGTTCGTCCCCCCGCCAGCTCCTCAGAAGCCCCAGAGTTGGGGGGGGGGGGGGGTTTGTGCCTAAGCCCCCAACAAGAAGGAGCCACCAAGTGTGGAGGATTCAGGAGATCCAGAGGGAGTGGGGGAGAACCTTCGGACCTCCTTCCCCACGTGGGGGGAGGTGACGGGGGGCTGCTAAGGCCTCATTCCCCCCCTCCAGGAGCCGCTGATGGAGGAGTACAGCATCGCCACGCAGGTGTGGAAGCTGAGCTCCTGCGACATGTGCGAGTTGGCCCGCAACAGCGTCCTCATGAGCGGCTTCTCCCATAAGGTACCGCCACCCCCCCAGCCGGGGACCCTCCAGGCGGCTGCGGGTTCCCCCCATCCCTCTGCTTCTCTCTGCCCCCAGGTGAAGAGCTACTGGCTGGGCCCCCACTACCTGAAAGAGGGGCCGGAAGGGAACGACATCCGTCGCACCAACGTCCCCGACATCCGCGTCGGGTATCGCTTCGAGACGCTGTGCCAGGAGCTGACGCTCATCACGCAGGCGGTGCAGAGCGCCGAGCTGGAGCCCATCCAGGAGGAGGACGCGCTGGCCGTCACCCCCCCCCACCCCCACCCACTGACCCCGGCCCCATTGCCGCCCCCCCGGGGGCTCCGTCCCCCCCCCCGCTGCCCCTCTTTTCTTCTGCCTCCTTTCTTCTTTTCGTTGTTGTTTGGGTTTTTTTTTGTATTATTATTATTCTTTTTTTTTGGTCGTTTTTTCATCGCTTTTTCCCCTATCTGTGTTACGCCCCACGGTGGGGGGGGGTTGGCATTGCGATGGGGGGGGGGTCCTGGTGTCACTTCCTGCACGGTGACACGCTGAGGCCATCATGGGAGGGGACGCAGCCCTACACCCCCCCCCGCCCAGCACCCAGCACCCAGCTCTGGGTCCCAGTATTTTTATTAGCCCCTCCCCCCTCCCCTTTTTGCCTCTCCGTCCATTTCTCGCCCAGAGGGGCCCCAACCAACCCCCAACCCGTGCGTTATGGGGGGGCACATCGTGCTGGGGACCGGGGGGGGGGCACAGAGAGCGATGTGGGGCCGCCCATCCCCTGTGCTCCAATTTGAGGCTGTGGGGGGGGAAGGGGGCTGCTCCCATGGCCGTGTCCCCACGTCCCCCATCCCGTCCTGTGCGCCCCCCCCCTCCGGAACAACAACAACAAAAAAAAGGAAAAAAAAAAAAGCAAAGCAAAGCATGGGAAATAAAAGTATTTAAGTAAGAAACGGGGCGCAGTGATTGGGGGACGGGGGGGGAGCGAAGGGCCGGACTCTGCGCGGTGGGGGCGGCTCCGGTGACGCGGGGGGGGTGGGAAGGAGGGCGGTTTTCGCTTTGCTTTGCTGCGCGTGTGGCGGAGCGGGGCGTTCCGTCGGGTCGGTGCGGATCAGCGCTCGGCATGGTGCTCACGTTGGGTTACTGGGACATCCGTGGGGTGAGCCGGGGGGGTCCGGGGGGGGGGAGGTAGATGAGGGTGGTGGGGGTATTTGGGAGAGGGGGGGACAAAGCGGCGGGATGGGGGGGGGGTAACGAAGCGGCTGTGCCCGCAGTTGGCCAACCCCATCCGCCTGCTGCTGGAGTACACCGAGACCCCCTACCAGGAGCGGCTGTACAGAGATGGGCCAGGTGAGGGGGGGGGCACCCCTCGTGAACCCCCTTTTTTTTTTTTGGGGGGGGGGGGGGGGGGCACCCAGCGCTGTTCTCCTGCTCCCCCCCGCCCTTCCGTTCCGCCCCACGGACCTTGCTCCTGGCACAAAGCTCTTGGCACAGCCTGGGGAGGGCAGGGCAGGGCGGGGGGGCTCCTCCTGCCCCCCCCCCCCCTTCCCTTTCCCCGCTCCCCCGTTCTCCCCCCCCTCTCAAATATTCCCACCCTGATGCAATCTGGGGGTCCCTCGTGCAGCCCGTGAGTCCGACCCGAGCGATTGGAGCCACGAGAAGGAGAAGCTGGGCCTCGACTTCCCCAATGTGAGCCGTGCTGGGGGGCCGGGGGGGGGGTGAGGAGGGGAAGTGGGGGGGGCTGCCGTGGCTCTGACCCCCCCCATTGCCCCCCCAGCTGCCCTATCTCATCGATGGCAGCACCAAGCTGACCCAGAGCAACGCCATCCTGCGTTACATCGCCCGCAAGCACAACATGTGTGAGTGGGGGGGGGTTGTGAGCCGGACGGGGGGGGGGATCCGGGGGGGGTGGGGGGGAGGTCTGATGCGTTCCCTGTCCCATAGGTGGGGAGACAGAGGTGGAGAAGCAGCACGTGGACATGTTGGAGAACCACCTGATGGATGCGCGCATCGCCTTCGCTCGTCTGTGCTACAACCCTGACTTTGTGAGTGCCCCCCCCAGCCTGGAGGGGGGGGGGGGGAGATTGGGGAAAAGCTGTGGGGTCTCAGCGCTGGGGTTGGAATCCCATAGTGGGGCGTGCAATGGGGGTTTGCCTCCTGCCTGGCCCCATGTGTTGGTAGGGGGGTTTGTGTGGGTCTGGGGGGTGCAATGGGGGCGTCTGGGGGGGGTCCCACCTCAGCACTGCCCCCATCCCATCATGCAGGAGAAGCTGAAGCCGGCGTACCTGGAGCAGCTGCCAGGGAAACTGCGGGAGCTGTCGCGCTTCCTGGGCTCCCGGCCGTGGTTTGTGGGGGACAAGGTGGGTGCTGGGGGGGGGGGGGTGGGAGTTTGGGGGGGGTCCGGAGCTGTGCTGACCCCGCTGCCCCCCCCCTCAGCTCACCTTCATTGACTTTGTGGCCTATGATATGCTGGAACTGCTGCGGATGTTCACCCCTGACTGCCCCGAGCTGCAGGGCAACCTGGGGCAGTTCATGCAGCGCTTTGAGGTCAGTGGGGACCCCAAAATCCCTGTCCCCACCTCTGTCCCCAACCCCGTCCCCATATTATCCTCCCCCATCCTCACCCCTGTCTTCAAATTATCCCCAACCTGTCCTGGACCCCATCCATCCCAACCCATTCCCGTCCCCTGTTCTGTGTCCATCCCCATCCCTGTGCCCGTTCCTGTCCTCAACCTTTGTCCCCATCCATCCCCATCCCTGTCCCCATATTGTCCCCAACCCGTTCTCATCTCTGTCCCCACCTGTCTCCACCCCCATCCCTGCCCCCATCCATCTCTCCATCCCCTTGTCCCCTCATTGTCCCCATCCCTGTCCCCTCATTGTCCTCAATCCCATATCCTTCCCCTCTCCCCTTCCTGCCCCCATCCATCTCTCCACCCCCATTCCCCTCACCCCCCTCCCCCCGTCCCCATCTCTGTCTCCATCCCCATTCCCACCCGTGTCCCAATCTCTCTCCCTATCCATCTTTCCATTCCCATTGTTCTCTTTGTCCCCATCCCTGTCCCCGCTCCGTCCCCACATTGCCCCCCCCCTTGTCCCCCTCCAGGCCCTGGAGAAGATCTCTGCCTACTTGCGCTCGAAGCGCTTTATGAAGACCCCCATCTTCATTCACACGGCGGTGTGGGGCAGCAAGAAGGCGTGAGGGGGATGAAACCCCCCCCAAGTCGTCCCCCCCTCAAGTCGTCCCCCCCCAAGTTGTCCCCTCCCAAGTCCCCCCCCCCCCTCGGACCCCATTTCTCTGCAGAATAAAACAGAGAGTCTGCAGTGCAGTGTGTGGGGAGTTGTCATGGGGGGGGTGGGGGGGGGGGGACATGGGGACAGCTACTGGGGGGGGTGGAGGGGAGAGAGGCCGTCCTCTGTTCCCCCCCTCAGGATAATGGGAAATGGGAGGTGGGGGGGGGGGGCGTTATGGGATGTTGGAGCCCCTCTGTGGGGGCTTCTTGTCCTCCCTTCCAGCACAGACACTGCAGCCCCCCAGGAGTGAAGGGAGAAGATGCGCCCCCCCCCCCTCTGGATAAGGACCCCCCCCCTCTGTGCACACTGTGGGCCTGGGGGGGGTCCTGTGCCCCCCATCGAGCCCTCCAAAGTGTGTGGGGGGGTGGCGGGGGGGTGGGGGGGTTTGCAAGGGAGTTCTCCCTGTTATGGGAAACCCTGTGTGCACGAAGTGTGGGGGGGGGGGGGGGGGCAAGGAAAATGGGTGACCCCCCCCCCCCCCGCGCGGAAAAACAGGGGAGCCTCAAGGTAAGGAACAGCCCCCAAACAAAAAGGGGGGGGGGGGGGCACAGCTCACAGCCGCGTTCTCCTTTAAGACCCCCCTCCCTCAAAGCTCCGTCCCCCGGGAAAGGGAGGAGCTGCAGGAGGGGCGGAAGGGGGCGGAAGGGGGGCAGCGTCTGGAGCGCGCGCAGCAATGGCGGTGTTGGGATACTGGGACATCCGAGGGGTGCGTGGGGGGGGGGGGGGGCTGCCCTGGGGTCCACGGAGGGATCCCAACCCTGGGGGGGGGTCTTTTCTCTATGGGGGGGGGAGTGGCTGGGGGGGGGGGGGTTGCTTGAGGAGTATCGGAATTTATGTGGGTTTTTTTTTTTTTTGGGGGGGGGAAGGGCTGTTTATTTCTGGGGTCCCATTGGAGGATGGGGGCCATTTGCATCCGCCCCCCCCCAAAAAAAAAAAACAATTGCGCCGTGCTTTGAGGGTTTGAGGGGTTGGGGTTGGGGGGGGGGGCGGCCGAGGTGGTGCAGGTACTGGGGGGATCCCCGAGCCGGGGGGGGCGTACAGGGGGGGTCCCAACCCTGGGGGGGGGGGGGGCTCGCGCTTCCTTTCTATATGGGGAGGAGGGTTACTGATTTTGGGAGGATTTTACCCCCCCCCTCGCAGTGGCAGCGCTCTTTGCCCCCCCCCCCCCCCCCTCCCATCCCCCCCCGCGGCCACGTGCGCTCCCGTGGGAGGCGGAGCACGGAACGCACGGAGCTGGGGGGGGGGGGGGGAGCGCATTTCTCACCCCCCTCCGTGCCTCCGTGCCCCCACGGGGGGGCTCACTGCTGCCTTTCCCCCCCCCTCCAGCTGGCCCACGCCATCCGCCTGCTGCTGGAGCACACCGGGACGCCCTATGAGGACAAACTGTACAGCTGTGGGGAAGGTGAGAGAGGGAGGGGGGTTGGCAGGCGGACCCCCCCCCCCGTGCCCCCCCTCCCACTGCGCTGTTGGGATATGGGGGGGCTCATCCCACTGTGCTTTGGGGGCTTGGGGGAGACAGGGGGGTTCGTCCCCCCGCCAGCTCCTCAGAAGCCCCAGAGTTGGGGGGGGGGGGAGTTTGTGCCTAAGCCCCCCCAGCTTGGGGGGAGGAAGGGGGGGGGGCATGATGGCATTCCCCTTTTTGTCCCCGCAGCCCCCGACTACGACAAGAGCCAATGGATCAATGAGAAGGAGAAGCTGGGGCTGGACTTCCCAAATGTATGGGGGGGGGGGGGAGCACCTCCACATCACCCCTGTACCTCAGTGTCCCCCATTTCTGTGTCCCCCCCCCAGTGTCCCACGGTGTCCCCCCCCCCCACCCCTTCACGTCCCTTTGCCCCGCTGCCCCCCCTGCCCCATCCTTTGCCCCCCCATCCTGATGTCGCCATGCCTTAGTGCCCCCCCCCCCAGCACCCAGATGTCCCCTCCACTCCCACATCCCTTTGTCCTGCTGTGCCCCCCCCCCTTTTATGCCCGATGTCCCCAAGCCCCCCCTTGTCCCCCCCCAGCTCCCCTACTTCATCGACGGCGACGTCAAACTGACCCAAAGCAACGCCATCCTGCGCTACATCGCCCGCAAGCACAACATGTGTGAGTGCCAAGGGGGGGGGGCAACCCAAAATGGGGGGAGGGGGGGGGGTCAGACCCTGGATTTCTTGGGGGGGGGGGGTCCTGGTGCCACCATCCACGCGCAGGTGGGGACACGGAGGAGGAGCGGCAGCGCGTGGATGTGCTGGAGAACCAGGTGATGGATTTCCGCATGAGCCTGGTGATGGTCTGCTACAGCCCTGACTTTGTGAGTGCCCCCATTCCTGGGGGGGGGGGGGGGCACAGGGCCCCCTTGTGGGGCAGCGTTGTCCCCTGCTGCCACCTGCTTTGACTCTGTGTCCCCCCCCCTCCTCCAGGAGAAGCTGAAGCTGGGATACTTGGAGCAGCTGCCGGGCAAACTGCGGCTCTTCTCCACCTTCCTGGGGGACAGAAAGTGGTTTGCAGGGGAAAAGGTGCGACCCCCCACCCACCCGGGGGGGGCACACAGGGGTGTCCCCCGTGTCCTCACTGTTTTTGTTTCCCTCCCCCCCCCCCTCACAGCTCACCTTTGTGGATTTCCTCATGTTTGATGTGTTGGATCAAAACTGCATCTTCGCTCCTCGGTGCCTGGAGCCCTACAGCAACCTGCGTGCTTTCATGGAGCGCTTTGGGGTCAGCGTGATGGGGGGAGGGGGGGGGGAGGGAGGGGGTGGCATCTGAGGGGTCTGGGGGGGGGGGAGGGGGTGGTGATGTGCCCCCCCCCCCCCCCCCCATCACCCCTTTATGTCCCATAGGCACTGGAAAAGGTGGCGGCGTACCTGAAGTCCAGCCGCTTCCAGAAGATGCCCATCAACAACAAGATGGCCAAATGGGGGGGCAAGAAGGAGTAAGGGGGGGTCCTACCCCCCCCCAACCCTGCGGTGGGGAGACTCCCCCCCCCCCAGCCTCAATAAAAGGAGGAGGTACAGCACTGTGTGCCTCACTGTGTGCCATGGGGTGGGGGGTGCCAGGCGCAGCCCCCCAGTCTGTGGGTGGGATGGGGTTGGGGTCCCCCCCTCCATGTCCCCCACTCCCGGGGGGGGGGGGGTCAGTAGCCATTCCCACCCACTAACAATGCAGTGCTGGGGGGGGGGATGGGGGGGGTGCCCCATGGCAGGGTGCTGGAGGAGGAAGGGGGAGGGGGAGTGGGACCCCCCCCCAGCCCTCCCTATTTCCACACAGAGCCGCTGTCGCTGCTATCAGTGCCTTTATTTTACACCTCTTTTGCCCCCCCCCCACCAAGGATGTGCGCATCTCCCTGGGGGCCCCCAAGTGCCCCCCCCCCCCCCCCCCCCCCAGCAGCGCCGCTCCACCAGTGGCTGTGGGTGGGACAGGCGCTGCAAGGAAGGGGGCAGTGGGGGGGGGGGTCTTCCTTTCTGCCTCCCCCCTCCCTGTCCTGCAGGGCTGCCCCCCCCACAGAGAAGGGGGGAGGGTGAGGGGGGGGTTGCATTACGCTGCATCGGCGCTGTCAGTCCCTGGGGTCCATCTGCAGGTGGGGGAGGGGGGACACAAAGTGAGGTGATGGCTCGCCCCTCATCACCCCGCCACCATGAAAGCCCCCCCCAGTGGGGGGGTGGAGGGGGGGGGTCACAGACGCACCCCCAGCGAGGAGCGGATGGGGGACAGTTTGAAGAGGACCCTCCTCCACTCCTCGGGACAAACGGCGCGCAGCTCCGCCGCCGTCATCTGCAGCAGCTGCTGCCCCCTCAGCACCCCCAGGCAGCGCACGGTGCTGCGGGATGGGGGGGCTGTGAGACGGGGGGGGGGGAGAGGGGGGCGCTTTTTTGGGAGGGGGGGGGGGAAGATTGGGGGGCTCGTGGAGCAACGCACAGCGGAGCGAAGCCTTTGTCCTTCAGCCACGCCGTCACCTCCGCTGGCGAGGATCCCATGTGCAGCGAGGGGGGGCTGCCCTGGGGGGGGGGATGTAGAGAGGTGAGGAGGTGCTGCCCCCCCCCCAGAGCCACCCTGGGCTGTGATATGGGGCGGGGGGGGAGGGGGGGGGGGGGCACACCTGGCTGTCGTCCTCGTGCCCCACGGGCTCCAGGATGTTGCTGGGGACGTAGCCCTCCTCCCCCCTCCGGCTCCGCACCAACCACCACTTCTTCTGCTGGTCCAGCACCTTTTGTGGGGGGGGGGAGAAGGGGGGGGGGGCAAAGGGCAGCACCCGGTACATGGAGGGGGGTCCCCATCCCCCCCCCCCCAACGTGCTGTACCTGCAGGGTGTCCCCCATCCTGACGCTCAGCTCCTGTGGGTTCCTGCTCTGGAATTCATACAGCGCCCGCACCACCGTGGGGGGTTGGAGGGGGGGTCTGTGGGGGGGGGGGAGTTGGGGGGGGCAGCGGTGAGTGGGTTCTGCCATCCCAACTGGGTGGGGGGGGGGGATGGGGGGGTCGGGGTGCACTCACTGCTGCCGCCCAGGATCTCTGTGTGCAGGGGTGTCCCCAGACAGCATCTGTGGGGGGAAGAGCGGAGGGTGGGGGGAAACTGAGGCACGTGGCTGTGCCCCCCCCCACAGACCCCCCCTCCCTGCCCCATACCGGCTGGTTATCTGCAGTCAGCATGGGGGGGGGGCAGCCAGCCATCAGAGAACTTGGGGATGTAGGGGGGGCACCTCCTCACCATTGGGGTACTGCGCCCTGCGGGGGGGGGGGGGGGGGGGTTGGGATTAAATTGGGGTTGGGATTGGTTGAGTTGAGGTTGGGTTCGAGTTGGGGTTGGGATTGGGGTTGGTTGGGTTGAGTTGAGCTTGAGGTGGGGTTGGAGTGATTTTGGGGTTGAGTTGGGGTTCGGTTGGGGTTGTAGTTCGGTTGGGTTGGGGTTGAAGTTGGGGTTGGGTTGGGTTGTGTTGGAACTGAGGTGGGGTTGAATTTAGTTGGGTTGGGGTTGGGTTGGAATTAAATTGGGGTTGGGTTTGGTTGGGTTCAGTTGAGGTTGGGTTGGAGTTGAGGTGGGGTTGGGATTGGGGGTGATTGGGTTGAGTTGAGGTTGAGGTGGGCTTGGAGTGATATTGGGGTTGGGTTGGAGTTGAGTTGGGTTGTTTTGGGGTTGAAGTTGGGATTGGTTTGGGGTTGGGATTGAGTTGGGGTTGGGTTGTGTTGGAGTTGAGGTGGGGTTGAATTTGGTTGGGATTGGGGTTGGTTGGGTTGAGTTGAGGTTGAGGTGGGGTTGGGGTTGGGTTGGGGTTGGGGTTGGGTTGGGGTTCAGTTGGGTTGTTTTGGGGCTGAAGTTGGGACTGAGTTGGGGTTGGGTTGAAGTTGGGTTTTGTTGAGATTGAGGTGGGGTTGGAATGGTTTTGGGGTCGAGTTGAGGTTGGGTTGGGGTTCAGTTGAGTTGTGTTGGGGTTGAAGTTGGAGTTGGTTTGGGGTTGGGTTGGGTTGAGGTTGGATTGGGTTGGAGTTGAGGTGGGGTTGAATTTGGTTGGGATTGGGGTTGGGTTGGGGTTGGGGTTGGAGTGATTTTGGGGTTGGGATTGGGTTGGTTTGGGGTTGGGCTGAGTTGGGTTGGGGTTGTGGTTCGGTTGGGTTGGGGTTGAGTTTGGTTGGGTTAAAGCTAGGATTGGGTTGGATTGGGGTTCGGGTTGGGTTAGGATGAAGGTTAAGGTTAGGTGGGGCGATCTGCACTGGGTGCCCCATTGGGACTTTAGGGCCCCCCACCGGCTCCTGTTCCAGGCCGGGCCCAAACTCTTCCAGGTGCGGTGCTGGTCAGGCAGGAGGATCCCATCCAGCAGCTGCAGCGCCTTGGGGAGCAGCAGGGGGGTCTCCACCTCCTCAGCCAGGTGGGGATGGGGGCACTCCTCCAGGACCTGCTTTTGGGGGGGGGGGTTCAAGTTCTCTATGGCCACCCCCAGAGGTTGGGGGTGGGTTTGTGGGGGTCCCCAGGGCGCTCACGAAGGTCAGGGTCTGGAAGATGAGATCCAGCAGTTCGGGTCCGGAGGGGCTCTGGATGTGCTGCCAGTTGTACGCCTGGGGGGGGGGGAAGAACAGGGTGGTCCCATGCAGCCCCCCTCCCCACACTGCCTGGCCCCCCTCTATGGCTGTGTGTGGGGTGAGGGCTCTGTGGGCGGGTAGGAGGGCTGTGTGCCCATAGGGTTTTGAGGGGGGGGGTCTCTGTGCTCCCCCCCCTCCAGACCTACCAGGAGGTTGAAGGCGTATTTCACCTTCTGGAAGAAGTCCACAAACTCTGCCTTGGAGGGGAGATCTGGGGGGGGGCAGATAGAAGCAGTGGCACTGAGGCGGCCCCCAGACCCCCATCACACCCTGAGCAGTGCCCCCCCCCCCCCCCCCCCTCCCCACCTTTCTTCTTCTTCTTCTTCTTCTTCTTCTTTGGGGTCTTGGTGCTCCCAGCGTCGCCCCGCAGCAGCCCCACAAAAAGGTCCATATCTCCCAGCACGTGATTGAGGACCAACTGCAGGAACAGGGGGGTGACGGGGGGCTTGGAGGGGGGGGGCAGGGATGGGGGGACCTCGTGTGGGGTGGGGGGCAGAAGGGGGGGGGGGGGGTTACTCACCACGTCACGTTCGGGGTCTGACATGGTCTCTCCATTGGGGCCCATCCACTTGTTCTGCTCCGCTCCTATAGGGGAGGTGGGATGCTGCCTGTGGGATGCACAGCGCCCCCCCCCACCCAACCCCAACCCCACGGACCCCCACCCCCCCCCCACCCCATGGCTCACCATAGGCTGAAAGGGGTTTGTGTTGGACGGGGGGCAGCGATGGGGGCCTGCTGTGCTCTGCCCAAGGCTCCGGAGCTCTGTAGGATGCTGGGACGTATGGGGGATCGGGGGGCATCTCTGGGATACTCCTGGGTGGGGGGGGGCACAGGGAGGGGTGGTGGGTGTGGGGTGTGGAGGGGGTGGGGGGTAGGAAGGGGGGGGGTCTGGGCCCGTAGATGGGATGGGAAGGGGGATGGGAGCTCAGGGATGGGGGTAAAACCCAATGGGTTTAGGGGTGTCCCTAAAGGTATGGGTTGTGGGGCTCAGTGCCCATGGATGGGGGGGCAGATGGGGTTGGATGGGGGATGGGGGGGAGGGGGGGACCGATGGGGGACGGATGGGAAGCGGGGGGGGGGGGGGGGGATGGATGGGAATGGATGGGGGGCGATGGGGATGGATTGGGGGGCATGGATGGATGGGGGGCAAATAGGGGCAGATGGGGCAGCAGCCAGCGCCACCAGCAGGCAGGGGGGCTCAGATCCCACAGGGGGTGACCGTTTGGGACAGGCAGTGACCCCCCCAGAGGGGGGAGCCCCGTGCCCCCCCCCCCCCCATACCCGTACTGCCGCTGCTCCTCCTTGCACTGCCGCACCAACTTCTCCAGGCTGCTCTTCAGCATCCCGGCCTGAAAGACCCCACAGCCCCATAACCCACAGCCCCATAACCCCGTACCCCTATAACCCATCGGCCCTATGCGTTCCCCAACCCCCCCAGCTGCCCCCCAACCCCCTCTCACCCCAATGTGGTGGCATTGGAAGAGCAGCACGCTGGTCCCCCCCCGGCCCCTTTCCTGCACGCTGATGGCCAGAACCGAATCGTAGCTGCCCACATCTGGAGCGACCAAACAGTCCTGGATGCTGCTCAGTGGGAACGAGTCCAGGTCCTCCTATGGGGCAGGGGGGGGTTTGTGGGGTTTATGGGGGGTTATGGGGTGGATGGGGTTACGGGGAGCGTGGGGTTGTATTGGGGTGCACGGGGTTATGGGGGTTGTGAGGTTGTGGGGAGGTGGGTTGTGGGGTGGATGGGGTTATAGGATGGGGGTTATGGGGTTTGGGGGTTGTGGGGTATGGGATGATGGGGTGTGTGGGGTTATAGGAGTGCATGGGGTTATGAGGTGTGGGATTATGGGATATAGGGGGTCGTAGGGTGAGGGGCTTATAGGGGGGTTCTGGGGAATGGGGTTATGGCATGGGGGTTATGGGGAGCGGGATTGCAGGGTCTGGGTTCTGGGGTCGGGGATTATGAGGTGGGGTCTCATGTGGTGTGCGAGGTTATAAGGTGTGGGATTATGGGGTGTGGGCTATAGGGGGGGCGCAAAGGTTGTGTGGGTTGAGCTTCAGGGGCGCAAAGTGGGATGGGAGGGCTGCAGGGATGGGGCTTAGGGGGTGTGAAGTTATAGGGGGGCGAAGTCATAGGGGGGCGAAGTTATAGGGGTGAATGGGAGCGGGGAGAGCAAGAGGGCCTGAAGGGCTCATGGGGCGATCAGAACACATGGGGGTGGGTGCTGGGGGGTGGAAGGGGGGGCTGTGGGTCTGGGGGTCACCACGGGGTACCCTGCTCTCCACGTCGCTCAGCAGCAGGTCCTGATCCCGGACCCCCAGGAGGAGATCCTGACTCCAAATCTTCCCCTGCGCCTCCAAATCCCGCAGCCGCCCCACGCAATCCTCCACGCTGCGCAGCTCCCGCTCCAGGCGTAGGGTCACCAGGTGCTGGGGGGAAGAGAGGGGGGACACCCAGGGGGGTGGTTATGGGGCGTAAAGGGGTGCGAGGTGCCCCACAACCGGGTGGCACCCAGGGGGGGCTCCTACCTCCACGGGGTGCTGGAAGTCGCTTTGGGGTTTGAGCAGCGTCTGCCCGTAATCCTTGCGCTGATCTGTGGGGCCACGGGGTGGGGGGTCAGGGGTGGGGGGATGGAGAGGGGGGGGGCGGGCTGTGTGGGGCGGCCCCATACTCACTGTAGATGCTTTTGGCGCTGGGACGGGCGAAGCTGGTGGGGCCGTGGGGGCTGTCTTCATATTCACTGCTGTGCGGATGGACAGATGGACAGATGGACGGACGGACGGATGGGTGGATGGATGGATGGATGGATGGATGGATGGATGGATGGATGGATGGATGGATGGATGGATGGACAGATGGACAAGCAGTGAGTCCGGCGGTGCCGCCATCTCTGCGCCCCATAGCACAGCGCCGTGGGGTGTGGGGAACTCACCGGGATGAGGGTCCGCTCCAGTAGGCAAAGGGGTCTCCCATCCTCACTGCACCGATGCTGGCGGCTGCCCGGGGGGGGGGGGCACAGAGTGTTGACCCCATGCGGGGTCCCCAGTGTGGTACCCAGGGGGTCCCCGCAGCGCCGCGTGTCCCCCCACGCGTGTCCCCATCCCACCGATAAGCTGTGACCCCCCAAGTCGCTCAGCACCCCCCCGTCGCCTCCCCCCGGCCCACGGCTCACCCTGCGCAGCCCCCCCAGCTCCGGAGCCGCTCTGCGGGGCTGTGGCACAGGACAGAACCGGGGTGTGACGTTGGCACCGCACCCCGTTGCTCTTTGCCCGAAGGCGTTCGCTTGCAGGCGGTGCGGGGAGGGGGGGTCGAGGGGGGGGAGCCAAGGGGGGGCGCAGCGCGGTCTCCCCCACCCCCCCGCTCACCCCACGGAGCCGCAGGGCGCAACCTTCCCCCCACGTTCCTCGTGCTGCTCCCACTGGGGGGGGGATGCGGCCCCCCGTGCCCCCACCCCAATGCCCGATCCACCCCCCCCCGTTGGTGCCATCCCGCCCCACCCCGTGCCTCCTGCTGACTTTGCTCGTCCCATCGCGCCCCAAGGGGGGGAACGACGGGGTGGGGGCGATGGGGTTGGGATGAGGGTTGGGTGGGGGGCTGCGGGGTCTCTGAGCCCATCCGACGCTGGGTCGCCCCGCTGTGCAGGGGGGGTAACCCGTAGGGGGGCTGGGGGGTGTCCAAGGCGTTCTGGTGGGGTGCTTATGGGATGCTGACGGGAGACCCATAGGATTCCGGTGGGGTACACGTGGGTGCCTTTCTGTTCCCCCCTTCGTCGCACGGAAGGATCCCCCCGGCTGGGGGCGGCCCCATGGAGGGGGGGGGGGAAAGGGGGGGGGCTGTGCCTCAGTTTCCCTACGGAGGGGGTGCAGTTCCGACGTGCGGCCACCAGAGGGCAGCACGTTCCTGTGTCACCCAGCTGTGCCCCCCCCCATTTTGCAGGACCCCCCGAAACGGGGCTGTGGGGATGGGCGGGGGGGGGTTAGAGGGGGTTTGGGGGGGGGTTGTCCAAGTTCGGTCCCCGTTCTGTCCCCAGAAGGAAGAGGGACTGGGGGGGCAAAGAGTTTGGGGCAGAATGCCTGCTTGGGGTATTTGGTGTGGGGGGAGCTGTAGGGAGAGAACAGCAATGGGGTGGGGAGAAGTGAGGCTGTATGGGGGGAGGGCTGTGTGCGCCCCCCCACGGCCCCAAACCAGATATGTGAGGGACAAAAAGCTGTACAGTGGGATTTCCCCCCCTCCCCCCCCCCCCCATCTGCTTTGGGGTGAGGGAGCAGCAGTGGGGTCCCCCTATGGGGCTGTGTCCCCATTGTGGGATGTGACCCACAGCACCGCCCCCCAGATGGGGGATTTCCATCAGCTGTGGCACACGGCTGTAATTGGGGGCACTGAGGGCACACAGAGGGGCAGGGGGGTGGGATGGGGCCTTTGTGGGGCGGAGTGGCCATTCAGTGGGATTGGGGCTGAGGCTGCTGGGATCTCCGTGGCCCAGCACTGCGCCCCAGCCCCTCTGCCCTGTGACCCCAAACAGTGAATGGAGCTGCCTGGGGACAGAGCAGAACGGGGACCTGAACCCAATGGGACCAAAACCCAACGGGGACCCAAAGCTTTTGGATGCCTGAACCTATTGGGAACCCACAGCTGTTCAGGACCTGAGCCTGCGGGTGACCTGAACCCAATCCAAACCTACTGAGAACTGGAACCCGGTGGGAAACTGAACCCATTGACACAACCATGGTGCCCAATTCCCCCAGTGCAGGGAAATGGGGTGAGGGTGCTTCCAAGGAAGGCACATCCCCCCCCCAGGGCCTTTCCGGGCTCTTCATTAACGCTGTGACTAACGAGGCAGCAGCATGTGGCTGTGAGCTGGTTGAGGTGCAGAGGATGTGGCCATAAAAGGCTCTTCTGCAGAAATGGGGGACCCCAAAGCAGGGGGGGGGGGGGGGGGAACATCCCACTGCACCCATGTGGGGCCTCGTGGTGCCCCCGTGTTGGGGCTGTGGGGACATGTGGGGCTGAGTGGTGACATCTGAGCGAGGGCTGGGGGGAAGTTGTGCAAGAGGGGCTGGATGGCATCAGCTGGAGGGGGGGGGGGCTGTGGGTGGGGGTCGTGGCACCGGGGTGGGATGGGGGTCAGCAGACCCCAGTGTGTCTGTGGGATGTGGGGAGGAGGGCGTCCCCATAAATGGTGGCTTAGTGAAATTTGGCATCACCTGGAAGTGGGGACACCCCAAAATCGGGGACGCCCCAAAGATGGGAGCCCCGTTTGGGTGATGCCCTACAGCTGGGGGGTGCCCACCCCTCACGAGCCCCCAGGGGTGCTGCTGTGGGTTCTGATCCGTTCCTGGGTGCTCTGTTGGATGCAGCACCCCCAGGGTGACCCCAAAGGGGGGGGAAGAGCAGCTCTCAGCATCAACCCCCCACATCCCCGGCACCCGCAGCCCTTTCCCTGTGCTCACGCTCCGAGCGCCCAGCGTCACACTTTCTCTCCCAGCACTGAACCCCACACAAAGGTTATTTTTAAAGAAATGACCGTTTTCCTCTTTTTTTTTCTTCTTCTTCTTCTTTATTTTTTCCCCCCCTTTTTCCTCCTCGGCAGCACGTGGCGGTGAGGTCATGGGGACGGCTTCCAGCTCCTTCTCCAGGGCTGCGCTCTTGGCCAGGCCCCTCCATACAGACCGGGCTTTGAGGAGGGGTCCTCCATCCTCGGCCCTAAAGCACCGCTGCCCACCCTGACCCCCCCCCAGCCCCATTTTCCTCCCCCCGTCAACCAGGAGACCACATCCTGAGCCGGGCATTTGCCCTTGGGTTTCCCGGAGCCTCCAAAGCCCCGCGGGCTGTGCGGCTTCTCCAGGAAAATCAGAGCCAGATGTGGGCAGTGCTGCAGCTCCGGGTGTGGGGCTGGGATGGGGGGGGGAAGATGGGGAGAGTTTGGGGTGTGGGGAGGGTTTGGGATGTGAGGGGGGTTGGGGGGATATGGGGAGGGTTGGGGGGAGTGGGGAGGGTTCGGGTTATGGGGAGGGTTTGGGGGTATGGAGAGGGTTGGGAGTATGGGGGAATTTGGGGGTCTTGGGAGGGTTTGGGGATACGGGGGGTGCTGGGGTGAAATGGGGGCGGTTGGGGATATGGGCACAGCAGCATTTCCCCGTGGGGAGCACAGCTGAGCCGGGGCTGTCAGCTCAGCGACCCCCAGGACCCCCGGCACTCCGATGGGCGGCGCTGGGGGGGGGCAGCGCTGATGGAGGGCGCTGCGGTCAGCGGGAAGGAGCGGGGCGGCCCGCAGCGACCTCGGCATGCGACAACAGCGGCCGCAGGATGACACTGAAGGGGAGGGGGAGGAAAGGAGGGATGGGGGGCTGAGCAGCTCCATGGCAAAGGACAGCAAACAGCGGCCTCCCTCACGGCCCGGGCGCAGCGGTGAGCCCCGCTCGGGGGTCTCAGCTTCATCCCCAGGGCTGAGAGCGCACAGACGGGTCGGAGCGACCCCCCCCCCTTGTCCTCCCCTCCTCCGCGGTGGTCTGAAACCAAACGGGGCCCAACGCGGGGCCGTCCCGTCCTTCCACCCTCCCCCCCGTAGCTTTTCCCCCCGCGGCAGCGAAGGATCCAACCGCGGGACCGGAGCTCCGTTCTGCTGCCCGGAGAGCGGCGGGGATGAGGGAATAAAGCGGAGTTGGGAGGGGGGGGGGGGAACCGGCGTGCAGCGCCGCTCCTGTCCGCGTCCCTGGACCGTGGAGGTGCGTTTGACGGATCCGAACGGTTCCGAAGCGATCACTGAGCTGCGTTTGGCCGCAGGAGGAGGGCTGAGGGCTGAGGGCTGAGGGAAACACCTCCCCCTGCCCCCCCCCAGACCCCCTCCCGTGGCGCAGGTCCGGATCTCTTTGCTTTCCATCCCAACCTCTGATCGCGGTGCCGTTCAGGCGCCCCCAACCCCGAGCATCCCCAATTCGTGCCGTCGGGTGGGGTGGGGGCGGTGGGGAAGGGGGGGGGGCTGTATGTGGGTCCGTGACGATGCTCTGCCCCCCCAGCGCAGCCTCCCCCCCACCCCCGTGTCACACAGGGTCAGAGGGGGGGGCTGCCCACCCCGCGAACCCAAGGATGGATGCTGGGCAGGAGAAGAGGCCCGGCAGCCCCACGAGCCCCACTCTGCGTATGGGGCAGAGCTGTGGGGGGGTTGGGGGGGGGGGGGACACCTGGGGGTCAGAGCCGCAGCGGGGACGGGTTGCGCGTGCTCGGGGCCTGCAGCTGATGTCAGCAGCGCAGATAAACAACGGGAGAGAGGCGAGGACAAGCGGCTCCTCTGTTCCAGACCCTCCGTGCGCAGCATCTCCATCCTCCGGCGCGGTGGGGGCTGCTGGGGCGCAGCCTCCCCCCTCCCAGTACCCCCCTCCATCCGACGCTGTCCGTAGGGTGGGCAACGAACTGCCGGCCTGGCGCTGTGGGATCGGAGCCACGCGGGATGCGGGATTCGGCCGTCGGGGCGCAGCGCAGGGGCGATGGTTGCAGCGCACGGAGCAGCCGAGGAGCCCCAGCCCCCTCCCTCCAGCCCCCCCCCCCCGCGTTGGGTGCCGCCGGTTCTCCCCCCCCCATGGCGCCGATGCCGCCCATCCCCGCGGCGCTCCCAAGCCCTTTGCCCACCCGTCCCCCGCTGCTGGCACAGATCCCCGGGTCCCCCCCGCACTCAGCTGCTCCCGGCGCAGCCCCCGGACGCCCCCCCCCCCCCCCTCGACAGGCAGCACCCGTCTGGCTCCGGCCGGGCTGTGCCCACGTTGTGCCACGCAGCGGGCGGTGCTGATGGGCATCGTCCCCCCCCCCCCCAGCACCCCGATCCTGGCTGCGCCCCCACTGCTGCCGTGTGGGTCTGCATCACCCCAAAAACGCCGTTTGGAGCTGATAGCGGCAGCTCCTGCATCCCCCCCGCGCTGCTCCCCGATGGGAGCCGGATGGAGGGGAGGGGGGAGGTGGCGGCAGCCCCCCCAAAGAGGCTTCGGGCTCCGGCTTGGCCGCATTCCTCGGCCTGGAGAGTTCTGGTGGAGGGAGGAGCGCGGCCGGAGCGCGGTGTGACTCAGCCTTGGGGACACTCTGGGGACACGTGTGGGGCCATAACGCTCCCTCCGTGCCCCCCCCCCCTCCCCCTTCCCCCATAGCGCTGTGGGGCCGGGTTTGATCCCGCCGGCCGCTGCCCAGAGACCCCCCAGTGTGCTGCGGGGGGGAGGTGGGGGAATTGACCCCTGGGAGCCGCCGCGGACCCCGAGTTGT